AAAAGAAAAAAAAAGACTATCTAAATTAATGCCAATCGAAAGAAGCTAATTAATGAAGTTTTAATCAACTAAATAAACTGAGAGAATGTATACCAAAGATACGATATCTGTGTAGGACAACAGGAAAAAAACCACTTCTGGCTTGTTTCAGTAAACACTGCCCTAAAGAGCTAGTGCACTGACCTCTAATTCCTTCTCATCAAACGTCTTCAGCAGATGCTGTGGGATTACTTCATTGAATCCCTTTTGCAGAGCTAGGAATTGAGCTTCAATGCCTCGTAAAAATCTCCAGTTTACATACAGCCTGTAAAATTGGACAAGAGCATCGTATGATCACATATATTCAGATTTAGTAATTATTATGAACTTCTAACTCAGAAATGTAGCACCTGATTAATTTAAATCTAACGTGGAAATCTTTCAGATTAATGGGGATATAAGGAGTTCCTAAACTGTGACATGGTTCAATACAGATACAATGTAGTCATCTCCACTACAAAAGTGGATAAATAATCTAACTCTTCAAATCAAGAGAAACTCCTAATAAACTGAACGTTTACTAAAACTGACAGAAAGTCACTAGGTTAGTATCTGAATCTTCCTCCCCTCAAATGATAGAATATTTACAAGTTAAAATCTTGATGAAATTTCTTTCTAATCTTACACCACACACGTCCGTAACCAACGGAGTTCATGCAGAAAGTACAAAAAAGTATTTCTGTATTGCAACCTACAGCAGCTACACTAAAGATGGTCCCAATGACCATACCTCCTGTATTTACACCTTTGCACAGTCCCTCCACACTGACCAGGGCTGCCATGTGACTCACTTTAACCAAAAGGCAGCAGGAGTTTTGGGCTACACCTGAAAGAAGACCTGTTAGCTTTCACACTTGGTCTGGCTATCTTTCTAGGGAAAAGGAGGCCATGGGGAAAGGAAAAGGTCCCTGAGGAGAACCAAAGAATGGAGACAACAAAGAGAAGGGAAGAGCTAGGCAATATGACCCCTAGTTGTGCTGTTCCACCAAGCCCCAGCCACTGCAGCTACCAAATATGAAGAAAGGCCATCCTGGCATTTCAGTCCCAGCAGATTCACCTGAACCAAGACATGTACCATTTATTGTGGGCTTACCAAATACTGACCCACAGAGCTATGAAAAATAGTAAAATGACTGTTGTTTTAAGCCACTAAATTCTTTGGTAATCTATTCTGTAGCATAAGTAAGACTGCCGAAACATTTCATCTTGTGGTCATTCTAGGACAATAAGGATTACTTACCTGACATATTCTTTTTTATTTTCTTCAGTTACTGGGATACTTTTGCCATTTGGTTTAAGTTCATGCTGAATAATTTCACCATATGCATTATGTTCAACACAAAAGGTATGGTCCAAGACACCTGTAATATCATTCTCACTAGAAAAATGAGAGAAGATACTTAAATGGAAAATCTAAGATACAGATCCTACAATATTAACTGATAAAGAGATAAAACTAAGAGAGCTTCATGGTATGACAACTCTAAGGATAAATTAATTCTATATTATAGAGAGTATATATATAGAGAGAGTATGTATGTGTGTGTGTATATATATATATATAGAGAGAGAGAGAGAGAGGGAGAGAGGGAGAGAGGGAGAGAGGGAAAATATATAGAGAGAGCGAGAGAATATACACATATATAAAAGTGTAAATAAAACTTGGTTCTTGGGTAAAAAAACCAAATTGCTTTAATCTTCATAAACACTGAAAACACTATTTCCTGTATAATGAAAAAGATGCCAACCAACACTGATACAGGGAGTCTTCTATTATGCTAGTAGTCATTTAGACACTAAGCCCTACTTGAATCTAAGTACCTCAGAGTGATTATGCAACTGAGAATCGTCAGTGGCAAAACTACTTGTGCATCAAGTTTTGAGTTGGTTTTTTGGGTTTTGTTTTTTAGAAAAAGCACTGCCGATATAACTTAAGTTGTGATGATTTAGGTTGTGTGTCAACCCTGACTGTCTTAACTGCCCAAGACCCTCTGATTTGGCAGCTGTGATGGAGTAATTTCCATGATGAGATCTGCTATGAGCAGCCTATAAGCTGAGGCATTTCCTCAGGAGTGTGGCCTGTATAGAATAGACATGGACATCTAGCAAAGTTCACTGGATTCTTCCTCTAGGGGGATCTTCACTTGGTTCATTACTACATGACTTTCAGTTCTTCAGGCTTGAGCCAGCGACCTGCAACACTGTCTACTACCCCCGGATTCATTAGCTTCTGAAGCCTAGAGCCTGCAGTCTGCTCTGCTCATCCTGGACTTGTCAGCCTCTAAAGCCTGCAGTCTGCAGTCTGACTTGCACACCTTGAGCCCATCAGCTCCTGCAGCTATGTCAGAAGTCTTTTTCCTGACATCTGACCCACGGACCTGGGACTTGTTAAATTTTATAAGCACGTGCACCTTTTGTTATCAGATTTGTTATCAGAGATTGAGTAATCTCTCTGTCTCTGTGTACATACACATTTATCTATTACATAAAACCCAAGCCCACTGCCACTGAGTCAACTGCAACTGAGACTTATCTCTACTGCCTTTCTGAGGCTGTAAATCTCCACAGGAGGAAACTGCTCCTCTCTCCCCAGGGTAGTCACTGGTAGCTTCAAACCACTGGGCACGCAAGGCCTTTGGGTTAGCAGCACAATTATGCTGTAAGTTACGCTACCAACCCCCCATATATATTTGAAAATAAAAATCTCACTGGTTTTGCATCTCTAGAAAAACCAAACTAAGACATTCAACTAAAAACCTCTTGCAAAGCAAAATCAGTGTGTGGAGATATCCTTTTAAAAGTCTGGATTCAAAATTACAACTTCATTAATAGCAACAATAGATGAACAAATGCCAAAGTTGGAAAAAAACATCACATACAGGAAAATCATTTTAATTAGTATTTTTTTAAAACTAGAGCGCACAAGATTTTGTTCTAACAATAAAATAAAAATATTTTCTGTGCATAGTTTTCCATTTAAAAAGTACATCCATTTAGTAACGTATCTCTTAAAAACTCAAATGCTAACTATAATAAACAGATAGAGGATTTAATACATACAGTATCCACACTAAACTGTTATGAAGATCTGGATCAACTAACTCCATGTCATCCAAAGTAATTGACTTCCCAAGCAATTGTTTGTAGAACGGTAATGTGAAACCACCATCGATATAATGTCCATGAAACACAGCCATTCCCATTATCCGGCCAACAAAGTGGAAATAGGATAAATGCTCCTGAAATTTGAGAGTTCATATAAACATTCAAGTGAGAAGTTATCCACAAAAATTTTAATAAAAACTAAATGTTTAAACAACATTAATCTGATAACAAGTATCAAAATCATACTCTAGTTTATTACTTTTTAAGTGGGATATACTATCCTATCAAAGTTCAGTGGTCATTAGAAAATGTTTCTGTAGCGCATTCTCAAGAGTCTGTGCTCCATATAAAATAATCTATTGTGCTGGGTCACAGCTTCTCTCAAAAGGCAACTTTGAAAAGTCATCTTTAGAAATGTCCAAATAATGTCCCTGCAGCTTCATTAAGACTCTCAGACTCCTGCTTGCTCGCTCTTCCCTCATCTCTTGTTGGGACTTTCTGAACCTTACTCTGTCATGGGAAAATAGTTTACATTACTAAACCCTCTTCCCACTACCTTGATCTACTAGAAACTATATGTCAAAACGGTGGCAAAAATGTGGTGCCTGTCTTATATCAGAATCCCAATTCTGCCCTAAATAATTTTACATATTTACGGAACATATTCAATCCCTATTAACACAAATTTTCCCCATCTGGAAAAATGAAGTCTAATTAGGGATTCTAAAAGGACTAAAATGAGATGATGAAATTCACTGACATGTTACACACTCAACAATGTGAGCTGGTATTAGAAGCAGTGCTGTAATGGAACTTATTTTAAAATCATCTCTTATAACAAATTATCTACAAAGAACCTGACATTTCCACAATGTTTGTATAATTTGCTTTTTCCTTATAATTGTTTTAATACTGAGATATTTATATTTTAAAATTCTTTTACTTCAAGAGAGCTCTGGTGGCCTAGTGGCAAGAAGCTGCACTATAGTCCCAGAGGTATGTGGTTCTAATCCACCAGATGCTCTGCTGGAAAAGGAGAGGCAATCTCCTCCTGTGCCAGTCAGATCCAATTTTCCAATTTGACACTACACACACAAAATAAAATAAAAAAAAAATTTAAAAAAGAAATTCTTTTACTTCTCCATATATTAAGTAATCTTTAAATTTATTTTTAACTTCCCTTTTCTATTTTAATATTTTGTTTTCTTTTGTATCTTAAAATTGCTTTTATTCTCAAAAAGAAAAGTATATTCATCACAAAATAGTTCACAACAATCTGAAACAAGAGATGCATTGGAAAATGGACTGGGGGAAGGAGAAGGAAGAAAATGTCCAACAATGAATGAATTTTTTTTTACAAGGTAAAAATAAATAAAATATGTTAAGTATAAAAAGAATTATAAAAAGTTCTCATGGTACCTATCAATTCTAAAAAAAAAAATTTTAAAGTCCAGAAATGCAGGCAAGCAAAAAAGAAAAATCTCCTAAAATTTATTATCACAAGGTAGCCACTTTCACTAAGTATAGTGTAGAGCCTTTCAAAGGTACACATATAAATATAAAAACTATTCTTTTATAACATACCTTTTATCTAAGGTATAAATGAGCATCATCTTTCCAGGTTACTATCTATTATTCCATGATATCATAAGGGACCAGTCCTTGGAGAGGGACGTCATGCTTAGGAGGGTGAAGGGACAGCACGAGAGGAAGATGAGATGGACTGGCTTGGTGAATGGGGTAACGGTGATGAGTGGGTCAGAGACAATAAGACTGGCACAGGATAGATAGAGCAGGGAATAAGGCTGTTGTACATTTGGTCGCTATGAGTCACAAGCAACTCAACAGCACATAAAAACAACATCTTCAGGGGAGTTCTGGTGGCCTAGTGGCAAGGAGCTGCAACTACAATCTCAGAGGCGCACGGTTGGAATCCACCAGATGCTCTGCCGGGGAAGGAGGGACAATCTCCTCCTGTACCAGTCAGATCTGATTTGATGGTACACTCACACAAAAATAATAAAATTAAAAAAAAACCAACCAACCAACAAAACAAACAAAAAAACACATCTTCTCAGTGGTTATACAATATATCCTTATTTAGAAAGATAAGAGAAGTAACAGAAAAATGATAAACTGGTAATAATATGCACACCCATGTTTATCACAGCTTTGTTCACAATAGCAAGGAGGTGGAAATAACCTAAGTACCCATCAACAAACGAATGGATAGAGTAGCTGTGGTACTGTGGTATATTCACACAATGGAATACTTCCCTGCATTGAAAAACAAGGAATTTATGCAATATTATTCCGAATGGCTTACCCTGTAGGACATTATGCTGAGTGAAGTATCTAAGTCACAAAAGGACAAATATTGCATGGTGCAACTATTGTAAAACAGGACTGAACTCAGGGTTGGGGGAGATTGAGAAAGATGGGTTCAATAATGTATACTGCATTGAAACAGATAAGGAAGAAAACTGTTTAAAAGGGATATGTGATTAGGTATTTTTGTCATGACAGGAGTCCAGAGCGAAGGCTGCATAGTGTAGTGGACCTGGGGGGGAGGGATTGTAAAACATGAAAGAATTTTTCTTTTACTTTTCCAAGAGGGCAATGTACTGGGGGGAGGGTTGGGAGAGGAGAAAAGTGTAACAATGAATGAATGGAAATCCAAAGTCTCTGTAAATTTTCATTGAAATTAATAATAAAAAATGTAAGCAAAAAAAAAAAATTTAGTAACAGCACAGTATAGTAATAGCTGCTAACTCTGCTAACTTTGTTTAACTTTAACAATGTACTAGGAGCGACCTGTAGGTGTACAGTCCCATGTGATCAGCTCCTCCGCTCTGAGGTACACGTTATTAGCAATAAGGAAACTGAAGCATAAGTCAATGAATTTGCTCAAGGTCACAACATGATCTCACATCTTTCTAATTCTAGCATCTATGCTCTTACCCATTTATGCTATTCTTTCATATCACAATTTAATCAATTCTCTTCTTGTGGACAACTCTGTTGTTTCCAGTTGTAGTTACTATATATTACTATGCAATAAACTTTTTTTTCTTGTTTTGTACTGCTGAGTTAGATCCAAATGGCACAGGAGATTGCCCCTCCTTCTCCAGTCGAGCATCTGGTGGATTTGAACCCCATGCCTTTGGGATTGCAGCGCAGCTTCTTGCTACTAGGTCACCAGAGCTCCCTTACAACAAGCATTCTTATACTCAAATTGTAGCACATATCCATAGTCATTTACTTAGAAATATATTTTAGAAGAATTTCAGAGTCAAAGATATAACCAGAACAAGAGAAACAATTTCAATGTAACAAATTCTATTCATATTTAAAGATGAAAAGCATTGAAGTTCTCAAATTCATTCGTAACAATGTAACCATAAATCATACCGGATTAACTGCAGAGTCAGGATTGATCTGCAACGTATAGATATCATCTCTTGAATACTGGAAAAGGCCATAGTATGGATTCAACATTTCATGAGATAACAAATACAACCACTCTCTAGAAAAGATATAGCAAATGAGTTTTTAGTTAATAAATTTTTATTAAGATATGCCATTGATTAATCACTTTAACCAAGAGTTTTTAATACACTCACTCCTCACTTATTGGCGTAAGATTCCAAAGACCAGGTCATTACACTAAAATGGGTATTATGTGAAAATGGAGAATGACGGCATCAGATGACAAAACAAAGAGGCTGGCCACACCTTTACATAACTGCTAACCTACATCGCCTAAACACCAACCCACTGAGGATAATGGCCTGGCCAAGCTGACACATGACCTTAACATCACAACCACACTGGGCTCACCTTGTAGGACAGTGTTCATTACTGCCAGTCAATGTCATTAATGTGCAAGATAGCTGGGATGTAAATTGTTTAGTCATTTTGTAAATATGAAATGCCAGATAGTGAGACAGTCAATAAATGAAAAGTAGGTGTAGAAAGAAATGAAGCACTAACTACAGATATGTAAGAAGATACAGAAAAGTCAATGTCAAACTAGCAAATTAAATCAAAACAGCACATGAAAAATTCCTATTTTATCATCCAGAAATCTGTTCTCACTCAACTCTGGGTTAAGTTACTATTCAGAAGCACTAACTATCATTAGATATTTGACAAAACAGAAGGTCAGCAAAAAAGAGGAAGACTTGGACTGACAAGAGTGACTTTAACAATGGTCTCAAACATGGCAACAGTTGCTGAGTGCAGGACTGGGCCATGGTCATTCTACTACTGTAGACAGGGTTGCTCTGAGTAGAAAAGAAACTAACAGTACTTAAAATCAAGGAAGTCTCAAGATGGTTTCGGTGGTTTCTGACCATGGCAAGCTGAGTGAATAACATGAAATGAAGAAGAAGAGAGACTTTGATAAACAACCAGGTTTGTAGAGAACATCTCATTTGGCAACAATGATCCATTAGGAAATTCTAAAATATTCTTTTGGTACCAATACTATTCTTAACCTCTTTAGGACTGTCCTCTGTCTGCAAACATTTGGGAATATTCTAAAAAATTGATGTGAAAGAGAAGATTACACGTCACGAAGTATCTTGCATGTCTAAGTATGGGGCTCTACATGTCATCCACTGATGAGCAAGCCTTTACCTGGCAACTCCTCCATAGTCAAGGCCCTCTTCCCCACGGAATTTGATCATTAATCGCTTCCACAGATCTTTCGGTCTCATTTTCATGACCTGTCGATATGATTCCTGAAAATTTTAAATATCTGATTTAATATTGTTTTTAAATTTTTATTTTATACTGGTTCATGTACACTGTTCTTCAATATTAAGTGTTTTTAACCAATTACTTAATTTTTCCCTCCCATTTTATCCTCAAAGCATAAGATTTTTTAAATTAGGTAAATTTTGTAACATTCAAAATAAAAGATAAACAAAATAGTTTAGACTTCATGGAACTTTAAAAAACAAAATGGATATAGTTTAATAATAATACTGAAATGGTACAGTAAAAGCCCACTATAATTGCAATATATTTTGGGCATGTTGCCAGGAGGGACTAGTCCTTGGAGAAGGGTATCATGCTTGGAAGAGTAGAGAGTCAACACAGAAGAGGAAGACCTTGAATGAGATGGATGCATACAGTGAGTCTGGCAATGGGGTTCAGTGTGTCTGAGACAGTGAGGCTGGCACAGGATAGGGCCAAGTTCAGAGCCCTTGTTCACAGAATGGCTATGAGTCACAGTAGACTTGATAGCACATAACAATAACAATAGTTGTGAAACTCCATGTTTTAGTTCTAGAACCACAATAATGGTTCCACTCACATATTAAAGGTAACATTTGAAAGAACAAATTTTCAAAAATTGCCTTACCTAATACAATGTCACAGGCACCAACAGAAAGTAAAAAGAAATTTTCAAAAGAATGTAAGTAATCATTAATTTGAATCATCATTAAATTGGCAATGTTTTATAACTTTCATCATTAAATTGGCAATGTTTTATAACTTTAAGATAAAAATAAGGCCAGAACTGTTTTGAGCGAACAAAGTTCATGCTTTGGGATTTTGATATTCCCAAATATCTTTAAAGAGGGTAAAACCCCTGTACCAATTTTTCTGTTTTTATATAAATGTTATATTTTACCTCAAAAATTTCTTCCCTGGATACCTCAATACGACAGTGACCAGCCTGAGGCTGTTGTTGGGAAAGTTCTTGACGTAAAATTTTGAGTTTCTGAACCAGGTCGCGCTTGTACCTCGGGACCGTCAGACACTCTGTGTCATCAGGACACAATGACACCACTTGCTGCTGCTGCTGGTCTTTCAGTTGGTTCTGCCGGCTAGATGGGATCAGAGAGTAATCAAGTATTTTAAAATGAAAAGAACTGGAAAGGTACGGGGCTCAAATTCACTAGCTGCTCCACACAGGAGATTGGCAATCTCCTCCGGAGTGAAAAACTGCCTCTGAAAACCCACTGGGGGGTCAGCTATGGGTCTGACTCGATGGTTACACAACATCGTCATTGTAAAACAAACCTAGTTACATCATTTTTAAGGCTTACTCAGGCATATGCTTGGCTTAAGTCCTAAGGTTTATTTCTCTTATTACATCTTATGGATGGATTATGAAATCGATTATTATCTATAAAGGTGGATGGAGCTGCTGAGAACAAATCTCTTAAATAACATTTCCCTTCTCCTCTACATAGGTTGTCTTCATTCATTTAAGAATCATGCGTATCTCATACCTTTTGCCTATATCTAGAGCCTGCTCTAAGTGTCCTACCTGCAAGCAACATAGAGGAAGCTGAACAAATAGACCAGTGTAGATGAAAAAGCATATCTAACTGCAAACATACAGCTTTCTTTTCTTTTTTTAAAAAATTTATTATTTTATGTATGTATACCGCCAAATCAGATCTGACTAGAACAGGATATTGTCCCCCTTCTCCAGCAGGGCATCTGGAGGATTTGAACCATACATCTCTGGGATTGCAGTGCAGCTTCTTGCCACTAGGTCACCAGAGCTCCCCTTAAATATACAGCTTTCTACAACTACCTGAAAGCAATCTCCCAAACACAGTAGAAAGATTAACAAATAATAAGAAATATTAATCATTCTACATGCCAAATATGACATCATAATAATAACAAAAATTATAAATGACAAAAGGATACTTGTCCTGTTTTCTTTTTTTTTTAATATTGCTCTGGTTTATTTAAAAATATAATGGTGGGGAGCTCTGGTGGCCTAGTGGCAAGAAGCTGCACTGCAATCCCAGAGGTACATGGTTCGAATCCACCAGAAGCTCTGCCAGAGAAGGAGGAGCAATATCCTCCTGTACCAGTCAGATCTGATATGATGGTACATGCACACAAAATAATAATAATAATAATAATAATAATAATAATAATAAATGGTGTGGTTTTTTTAAAATTTGTTGTGTGCATCAAATCAGATCCACCTGGCACAGGAGGAGATTGCCCCTCCTTCTACAGCAGAGAGAGCATTTGATAGATTCAAACTGCATGCCTTCAGGACCGCAGCGCAGCTTCTTGTCCTATTATCTCTTTATTCTCTAAACATAAAATACTATAAATTGCATCCAAGAATCTTCCCCACCCCTTGTTGCATACCCTCCATTCAGATCTGACTGGCACAGGAGGAGATTGCCTCTCTTTCTGCAGCAGAGTATCTGGTGGATTCGAACTACGCACCTTTGGGATTGCAGCAGTTTCTTGTGACAAAGCTACCAGAGCTCCCTCAGGAATCTTTTTTCCCCCAAGTACCTTTTTTAAAAGAGCCCTACTATCAGATGCTCTACCAGATGCTCTGCTGGAGAAGGAGGGGCAATCTCCTCGTGTACCAGTCAGGTCTGATTTGACGGTACACGTAAAAATAATACAATGAAAGTTAAAAAAAAGAGCCCTACTATACAATAGTTAATTCTAATAAGCTGTCAGAAAATTAAAAGTTATATCGGTATGATAAGTTTCTTATTTACCAAACAAAATGTTATACCAACACCAATATTATTCTTAGAGATACCTACACAGAAAACCATTTTGATAAAAATGATAAATTACTATTAACACTTATAAATAACATATTTTAAAAAGGTGCTCTGAAATATTATTCCCTAACCAATGCCAAAATAATGAGATTTTTAATATAGCACCCCATAATCAACTAAATAAGCTTACAAAAAAGCATGAATTTGGATATACCTCACACTAAATAAAAATATTAATCACAGACTTGAATCTAAAACTTAAAAGGACGACACATCTAAACACTGGAGAAATCTTTTATGTTCTGGGTTAGACAATGATTTCTTAGACTGAACATTAAAAAGACAATCTATAAAAAAACAAATGGAAAAACTGGAATTCAGTCAAAATTTAAAAGAAATCTGCTCTTCAAAAAGCAATATTAAAATAAAGGAAGGAAAATTATACAATGGAAGAAAATTCTTGCAAGCATCTATCAAATTAAGGTTTATAGTATCCAGAGTATCTACAGAACTGTCTAAAATTAACAGAAATAAAACAACTCCATTTATAAAAGGGCAAAGGAATTTACTAAAGACACAAAGATGGCAAATAAACACATGAGATGCTCTAAATCATTAGTTACCAGGAAAATGCAATTTAAAGTATCACTAAGATAGTACTACTATTTTCATTGCTGTCAGCTCACAGCTGGCCCTCCGGTATCAATTTCATGGGAGGAGACTGATCATCTTTCTCCTGAGGAGCAGCTGGTAGATTCGAATCTCCTGCCTTTGGGCTCACACCTCAACTCCCTACCCACTACGTTATCAGAGTTCCCTAGATACTTACTGATGTATAAAATTAGTTAAGATTAACCATAATAAGAATTGAGCTCTGGTGGCCTACTGGCAAGAAGCTGCACTGAAATCCTGAAGGCAAACAGTTTGAAGCCACTAGCTGCTCTGCAGGAAAAGGATGGGAAATCTCCTCCTGTGTGATTAACTGTCTCTGAAAACCCACTGGACATTGAGCTATGGGTTGGTTCCCGCTCTATGGTACATAGTAACAATAAGAGTTACTAGGGCTCCAAAATCAAGCCAAACTCATACAATGACGGAAATATAAAATGGTAGAATCATTGTGAAAAGCAGTCTAGTTATTTCTTAAAAAGATAAACATAACCTATCATATGATTCACTCATTCCACTTCTAGTGATGCGAACATACTGTCCAGTCAGTACAGAAAACTTCTTCAATAAGTTAAAAATAAACTCAGTACTTCTACTCCGAGAATATATTCCAAAGAGCTGAAAGGAGGAACTCATATGCATGCACATATTCAACACAGCATTATTCACAAGTCAGAAAAGGCAGAAACAACCTAAGTGGCCCATCAATGGATGAATGAATAAATTAAATGTGGTAGATCCACTAAGGCCTTGTGGCAAGATGCTGTGCTGCAATCCTGAAGGCATGCAGTTTGAGGCTGCCCCACGAGAGAAATATGGGCAATCTTTTTCTGTGTGATTAATTACCTCTGAAAAGCTGCTGAAGGGTTAGCTACAGTTTGGTTCAGACTCTATGGTATACCACCAGCACTACCACAACATGGCCACTAAGGATGACTGAGAAGAATGAATGCCTTTGAGCTGCGGTGTTGCAGGAAAGTACTGAATATCCCTCGGAGTGTCAAAAGAATAAACAAGTCTGTCACGGACAAAGTGAAACCAGGTGTTCCTAGGAAGAAAGGATCATGAAGCTGCATCTCACAAGCTTTAAACACGTTGTTAGGAGAGGCCAGTAGAAGGACAACATGCTTAGAAAGGTGGAAGGTAGATGCAGGAAGACAAGATGGACTGACTTGGTGACTTTAACAGCGGGCTCAAATATACTGGAGATGGTGAGGACAGCACCAGATAGGGCAAGACTCAGAGTCACTGTTCATAGGGACATCATGATTCACAGTTAACTTGTTATAAAAATAACAATATCCACACAATGGGCAATTATACATCCTTGAAGAGAAACTAAATTTTGATACATGCTACAACATGGATAAACCCTGAACACTGTGCTAAGTAAAATAACTAAAATACAAAGAACCAATAATGTATAATTCCACTCACACGAAGTATCTAAACAGGCAAATTCATAACAGACAAAAAGTAAACCATAGGAGCTCAGAGGTCAGAGTAGAAGGGAATTATTTTTTTAACGGATATAGTTTTTGCTTGTAATGTTATAAAGATCTGCAAACCATAATGAAGAAACTTAACACCACTAACTTGTGCACTCAGAAATGGTTAAAATGAGGGGGTAATCATATTACAGTAAAACTTAAAATTTTGTTCAGCAAAAGTAATTTCTATTAAGAAAAAAGGCACTGACCACAAAAATCAAATATTATTTTCTCTTATTCAGACTCACATTTTAATATGTATTCTTTAAAACTTACTTTAAAACTAAATGCAAGTTAGCAGAGAGCCGAGGATCTGTAAACTGTGTTGTTCTGTTGTTATGGTCAACGAAGTAAACTCTGCCTGTGGCCGTATTACGAATCTCCCATCCAGGAGGCAGAGGACCAAGCTCTTCACAATTGATGTTGCTAAGATCTCTGCAAAAACAAATATAAAATACAAAATACCTCATTGCTGGGCCTGCTGAGCCAACTCAGTGCAAATGACACAGAACAATTCCATGAAGTCTGAGAAAATGTATTGTTTCAGAAACTTGAGACGTTCAGCTGGAATCCTTAATTCCCTATGGCTCAACAAACATGAGTATTCAAAATTCCATCCATAAATGGCCCAGAAAAACTTATCACACAGCCTACATTTTTAGTTAAGTTCTTAGCTATATTATACAATTTTAAATGAACATAAAAGTAATCACATTTGAAGACAGTTTTTGAGGGAACTCACAGTCCTCCCAAATCTGTAATAAAATACTTAAATCGGGGAGGGGGAGAAATCACATTTGCCAATCACATCTGCACTTTCAATACTTTTTGACAGAAAATATTGTTTTGAAAGTGTCAATGATAAAAGGAGTGAAATCTAAAATTTCCCTTCAACACTTCCTTTTTTAAATGTGTATAAATAAAGGATCATGATTATTTGTAAATAAAAGTTGAAATAAACTCTTAAGTGGCTCAAAACTGAAAATAATATTTTTTTAAAGTTCAATTTGGAAGGTCAGAATCTATAAATCTAATAAATGAAAAAATCTATTTTTCATAGAGGTAGCATGTACTCAGGTTGACTGATAAAACAGAAAAAGCAAGGAAGTTTTTTTAATGGCCCCAAGTAAAATTACTACTCTATGATAGAAAGAAATGAAGTAACATTATTGTCTTTAAAACATTAAAGAACATATAAAAGAACACTGAGTACTTTTATATCTTTTTTTTTCTTTTTAAAGTATAACCAGGGTGCTAGGAGAATCTATCCCTTGGACAGGGACATCATCCTTGGAAAGGTAGAGATCAGTGCAAGAAAGGAAGATCTGTAACCAGAGGGGCTGACATGGTGACTGCTATAACGGGATCACGCGTGTCAGAGATGATGAGGATGGCACATGACAGCAAAAGGTTCAAATCTGTGGTCACAGAGTTGCTATGAGTCACATTCGACTTGACGGCACGTAATAACAACAAGAACCCTTTTATGTTTTCTCCCAGGTCAATTTCCAAATTCCTAAAAGACTCATGTTTGTTTGGTTTTTTTCATGACCCACGTTTTTGTCTTTCTTCTCTTTTAGAGGTAGACTAAAAGCAAGGGTGATGCCCTCAGTTAAAACTGCAGAGAAAAGTAGGACTCTCTATAATGTCAAGTTAAAACTTATCATCAGAGCCAAGTTTTTGCATATGCTGTTCTTAGAAGTTAGATAATAGTAATTTAAAAAGGAAATGTGATTAACCGCCCCTAAAAACCAGCTGAAGTTATGGGTCAGTTTCGACTTGATGGCACACAACTATCATATTCTCAAAAGTTAAATAACAATTAAAAAAATCCTAGATAAAACGTATATTCAAACGCTATGGGAAGTATTTAAAATCTATTCTTACCTAGGTACTCTTGGGTCATGCCATGTGCTCACACCAGTCTGAGTATGTAAGAAATACACTTGACCTTGTTGCGTTGTCCTCTGTTCTGTAAAATATATATATAAAAAAAAACACCCAAAAATTCATAAAAGCGTATTAAATGAGTAATGAATAAATGCATATTTCGAAAATCTAAGTCAAAAACATACTTTGGACATGTTGTAAGGAGGGACCGGTCCTTAGAGAGGGACATCATGCTTAGTAGGGTGGAGGGACAGCGCAGGAGGGGAAGGCCCTCTATGAGGTGGACTGATTCAGTGACTGGGGTAATCGAGATGGGTGTATTGGAGACGGTGCGATCGGCACAGAACAGAGCAGAGTTTAGGGCTGTTGTACAGAGGGTCACTATGAGTCACAAGTGACTCGACTGCACATAACAACGGCACATAACAACAACAAGTCAAAAATAGCTATCAATAGACACTAAGACATTATTACAATAGCAGAGATATTCATCAAATTGTAAACCTGCTACAAAAAAGTTGGGGGTTTGTATTTTGTTTTCTTTTAAAAAAAAGCTGTTTCATAATGGGAATGACTGTATGAAACAATGTGAATGAAAGATAGTGTGAAACACAACGTAAAATAATTTGTTTTAAAAAAAGGCATAAAACCAATTTATTCTATAAATGAACTCAGAATACTTTCCCCAGAATTAATATTGTATTATAAATAGTGAGGAAGCATATTGATTACTTATATAAAAGCCCAAAAAAGCACTGACTGTACTTCTTCCCAGACAAATTTGTTTGTTCTTTTAGCAGCATGTTCAATACTCAGTAAGAGTGCATTCAATACTGTAAAAAAACCATCTATGAAAGTAAATGTCATTAAAGAAAAGGTAATATGAATAATTTTTAAAAGCCAACTAAGCTTAGATGACTCAAATATGTTCAAATGGAAAAAGGAAAACAAAACTGTCATAATACCAGTAATTAGACATCATTTATCTTAAGTATGGATCCTCAAGGGAACACCAGAGGAAGAGATTGGTTAATTTTGAGAAGACTCTAAGGATTCTTCCAGAAATGTGTGAAAGATCTGGAGGTTGAAAATACTATTTATCCTGGAAGCAGGAGTGGCATCCACTTCGTAAACAACATGCCTCTGGAAACTCTATGAACTTTGACAAATGTCCTTGTGCTCAATTGGCAAGCAACAACAACAACAAAACAATGCTGTTTATTAAGCCTACTTTATAAAAAAAACAAAAACAAAAACAAACATTAATTCTCTGTCAAGTCAGGACCAAGGTCAAAGGGAGAAAAAAGGATTCAAGGAATATCAAACATGTCAACAAAGGGAGTGAACAGCCTCAACTACCATGGAGTGCCCCTCCTTTCCATCCCTAGAAGACCACCCACCTGGCTAAACCACAATGGATGCCCCTCCTTCCCCTCACTAAAGACCCTCACTATAAAACTATCCTAATCCACTTTGTTGTTGTTGTTATGTGCCAAGAGTGCCTGCGACCCTATGTACAACAGCCCTAAACCCTGCTCTGTCCTGTGCCAATCGCACTGCCTCTGACACACCCATCCCAATTACCCCAGTCACTGAATCAAACCACCTCATAGAGGGTCTTCCCCTCTGACGCTGTCCCTCCACGCTCCCAAGCATGATGTCCCTCTCTAAGGACTGGTCCCTCCTTACAACATGTCCAAAGTATGTCAGATGAAGCCCCAGAATCCTTGCCTCCAAGGAGCAGCCTGGTTTAACCCTCTCTAGGAAGAATCTGTTTTCTTGGCAGTCCATGGTACACTCAATATTCTTCTCCAGCACCACAGCTCAAAGGCATCAATTCTCCTTCTATCCTCCCTAGTCACTGTCCAACTCTCTGATGCATAACAAGTGATTGCAAAGACCATAGCCTGCATCAGATGCACCTTAGTCTCCAGAGTGACACCAATGCTCTTCAGTACCCTGGAGAGGTCCCTAACAGCAGACTTTCCCATCACAATACATTTTTTTTTAAATTTCCTGGCTACTGGTGCCAAGAGTGCTGACCGTGGAGCCAAGCAGACTAAAGTTGTTAACAATCCCAATCTCTTCACCATTCATCCTGATGCTACTAATTGGTCCAGTGGTGAGAATCTTTGTCTTCTTGACATTGAGCCTCAATCCATACTGAAGGATGCAGTCCTTGACCCTCTGCAGCAAGTGCTTCAGGTCCTCCTCAGTTTCAGCAAGCAGGGTTGTGTCATCTGCATAACGCAAATTGTTGATAGATCTTCCACCACCCTGCTGCCACACTCCTCCTCACAGAACCTAGCCTCTCGGATAATCTCTTCTGCATACAGGTTGAAAAGGTATGAAGATAGGACACATCCGTGGCGTATACCTTTCCCAATTTTCAACCATGCAGTTTCCCTGCTCTGTTCTGACGACTGCCTCTTGGCACAAGTATAGGTTTCACATTAGAACGATCAAGTGTTCTGGGATTCCCATTCTTCTCAGAGTCAGCCACAGTTTGTTATGATCCACAGTCATATGCCTTTGCATAATCAGTGAATTACAGATATACATTCTTCTGGTATTCCTTGCTTTCAGCTAAAGGGCCTGGTATTTCCCTGGTCTGTCCCTCTGTTTCTCTCTCTGCAGACCAAGGAATCCCACCAGGGAGACCCCTAAATAAAGCTTCTTTAGCTTCCTTTCTTTCTCTGGTCCCTTCCTTGAGTCCTTGGCCTTACATCCAGTGTGAAGACCTAACACTCCTTTCCGGACAAAAGTACATTTTCAAGATTGATTAGGCCCATGCCAAAGTTTAAAAATGGTATATACATGGGGGACACTTTCTACAGTAGTTATAAACAGGCAAATATGGGAGAGAAAACCTAGAAGCCAGAGAGAACACTCCTTTGATGGAGTGCCCCAATTTTTTTTTTAAGATATGAAAAGTTTCTTCTTAGAAATTCCAATATGTAATGAAATATAAAACTACTGTTAGTATTTATTAGTATAAATGTAATTTGTTTATAAACTTAAAAATTCAATCTGTTAAATGTTAAACTTTTGAAATGTAAGCAAAACAATGTTTAAAATAGATTACTGATGACAGCTGCAATTTCACTTTCTGTTTATGCTTTGGCTGTACAGAACTTTAAAATTCAAGTCTCACAATAGTGTACAAGTATAATTATTCCCACTACAAATAGATTGACTTATGATACCAAAGAGAATGACAAGAGATGCTTTATCCTAAGGACAAATAATGATAACATCTAAAATTTACTAAGTGCTTTCTATGCCAGATATTGTGTCAGGTACTTCATCTGAAGTTAAAACATGTATTTCTTCCAACAAATATACCAGACTAGATCTTTCTCATTTCAAGGAAGAGAAACAGGAGTCAGGTTCAGAGACGTTCAATAATGTGCCCAGCATCAAAATGTCAAGCTACAACATGTGCACAGGTCCATCTGATTTGAAGTCAAAGTTCAGTCAGTGGACAAATGATTTTTTAAAATTATTTCAAGAGTTTGAATATTTTTTAAATAAACAAAATCATGCACTTGCAAAACAGTTATATATTATGGAATTTTATATCTATCTATCTATCTAAAGTCAAATAGTTACATCTGGCAATTTCCAGTGCTGGTCACTAGGTGTCACTATCAGAACAGAACGTTGTTAGATGGCCTCAAGTCGACTATGACCCTGTGACCCTAAGGAATGATCTGTACCCTATCCTGTCCTTCCACTTCATCTCTGATATATCTGAGCCCACTGTTACAACCACTGTGTCAGTTCATCTATTTGAGAATCTTCATCTCTTGCTAACCTTCCACCTTTCCAAGCATGATATCCTTCTCCAAGGACTGGCCCCTCCTAACAGTATGTCCAAACTATGTGTGGCAAAGCTTCACCATCCATGCCTTCAAGGAGCACTAAGGCTGCACTTTCTCCAAGACAGACTTGTTCATGCTCTTGTAGAGTCCATGCGATATTCAATACTCTTCTACACCACCACAACTCAAAAGTATCATTTCTTCTTCTGTTATCCTCATTGTCCAACTTTCAGAAGCAAAGACCATACATAGCTTGAATCATATGTACTTTTAACTTGACATCACCAATCCTTAACATCTTAGGGAGATCCTTGATAACAGACCCAAAGCAGTATATCTTCCAATTTCTTGACTGCTGATGCAAAGGGTGTTGACTGCAGATCCAATCAAGATGAAACAACTGGCAAATTCCATCTTCTTCCCAGCTACCATGATGTTGTCTTTGGCTCAGTCATGAGAATTTTTGTCTTCCTGAGGTTTAGATGTAATCCATACTGAAGGTGCTGAGCCACCTCCCGACCCCAGCCTTGGTCCATTGGGTCTGAGCCAGACGCCAGCACCAAAGAAGGCAGCTGAGCTGTCTCCTTCAGTGAGCACAAAATAGTTTAGCCAAAGACCTAACTAAACAGCTTGCTGAGATTTTAACAAGAGTTGGTAATATGCACAAGAATGTTCATAAATTGATAAAAAAAGAATGTTCATAAATTATAATTCACTTACATAGTTCTGTAGAATGATGCAGCATTATTTCCAATAGCAAAGAGATGGAAACAATCCAAATGTTCCATCAATGAACAAACAGATTAAGAAACTGTGGTACAGTACAGGATATTGTACCATATAACACTAAAAAATAATAAAGAATTCATGAAGTACTGTATAAAAGGGATTTATTTAGAGGCCATTATGCTAAGTGAAATAAGTCAGTCACAAAAGGCCAAATATAGAATATGGCTACTGTAACAAAAAACTAAGGAACGCCAGACCAACTGGCAGCATCACAATAGATGGAGAAGAGACTGAGATTGTTAAGGATGTTATCTTGCTCAGGTCCACAATCAACACACTTGGCACCAGCAGCCAGGAAATGAAAAGATGAATTGTTATGGGAAAGTCTGCTGCCAGGGGCCTCTCCAGAAGGCTAAGGAGCAATGATGTCAGGGTGACACTAATGTGTGCCTGATCCAAGAATGGTCTAAACAATTACCTGCAATGCATCTGAGAGCTGGACAATGACTAAGAATGACAGAAGAAGAATCGATGACTTTGCGTTGTGGTGTTGGAAAAGAACAGACTATGGACTGCCAAGAGAACAAATAGGTATGTCTTGGACAGGGTGAAACCAAGTTGATCCTTGGAGGCAAGGATTGTGAAACTTAGTCTCACATATTTTGAGCATGCTGCCAAGAGGGACCAGTCCCTGAAGAAGGACATCATGGTCAGAAAGTGTAGGGTCAGTGCAGGAGAGGAAGACCTCAGATAAGATGGATTGACACTGTGACTGTGGTAATGCGGTCAGGTGTATCACAGACAGTTAGACTGACTCAAGATAGGGTAAGGTTTAGAGCTATTGTTTGTAGGGTCGTTTTGAGTCACAGGTGACTTAATGGCACATAACAACACAAGGAAAACTGACACACAACTAGAATCATTCTTGGATAGTTACCAGGGATGGGCAAGGGGAGTTAAAATTAGCAAATAGGTAAAAGGTACATATCAAAATGGATGAAGGGAAAGACAATACCCCAAAAAGGGGGTGATCAGCATTTAGCATTAAAGAAAGGGAAAACACAAAGAGGTATATAAGGATTAATGAAAATGAGAATTATAAAAAGTGGGAAAAGTATGATAACATTGTAGGTACTGAAATTATAATACTGATCGAAATGGGTATGAATGGTTGAAAAATTCGTTTTGTAATCTTTCACTCAAATCACAATTTTAAAAAAATAAGGTTCTCCCATCAAGAAACGAGATAGAGAAGGTGTGGTATATTCACCCAATGGAATACTACAATGCACTGAAAAAAACAAGGAACTCATGAAATATTATTGAGAATTTGTGACTGGAGGACATTGTGCTGAGTGAAATATCTCAGTCACAAAAAGACAAATACTGCATACTGCCATTGTTGTAAAAGAGTGCTTCTTAGTCACTTTGTGATCAAGGCAGTACTATTCACCTCATTTCATTATATATGAACAAAAAAAGCAGAGGTTAAATGACTAGCCCAAGGTCACACTCAGCTGGGCAGACCTCTACCACTTCAGAGATTGCAAAATTGAAAAATTCTACATTCTTAATTTCACACAAGACCTCCAAAACACGTAATAGTAATTTTTAAAAATCCTTTTCTCTTTTTCTTAGCAAAGTGAAATCAATAAATACTCCAGGTTTTTTCCTGTAGCTGACATACCGTAACCTTCTGGTAGATCTGGGGGAGTATGTAAATGTGTCCTGCTCATGTAATTTCTATGTCGTTGCGACCTGACTCTCCTCTCTGCTAGCCTGGGATCCGAAGACTGCCCACATGTTGCACCATTTGTTCCACTAATTGGAGTGTTCTCATCAACAAAGCAGCTGAGAGGTCTTCCAGGACTAGAATATTCTGACGCCGGTCTATTGAAAAGTAACAAGGAAAAAGTTAACACGGACGTCAAAAATTTTCTCAACAACATATATGCTATAACAATATTCATTATGTAAGAATATGGAATGGTTAAGACAAATTATGGTTTTAAAAGGGCTCTAAATTTAAAGCAAAGTTTCTAAACACTAAAGAAATGCAGGTGATAAACATGTCATCGATTATGTGTTTAAGTAATTTTATATCACTTTCATTACATTTTATATAAAATCCATACATGTTGATAGGTAAGAACCAGCTTACAACAGCCTACTCAATTCAGCTATCGCCAGTACCTCAATGATTTTTTCTCATCCCTCTCCTTGGCTTCCTCCACACTGTAATTCATCCTATTCCCTGAACTTGCCAAGATCCTTCCACCTTCATTCCTGACAGAAGTTCTTCTTTCCTGCTCTTTTCTCGGGTTCACTCTACAGGCCTGGTTGGTTTGGTTTTTTTATGTCAATCACTGCTTAAACTGAAAAGTTACCTCTTGATAGGTTCTTCCCAACATTTCAATCTAAAGTATGCATCACTTTAGTTCCTCAGCACAGTACTTACCATTGACATTTCCTTATTTACTAACGTACGTGTTTTTTGTCTGCCTCCTCCTCTAAAGAAGCCCTGGTATCATAGAGGGTTACAGATTGTTCTGCTAACCTGAAAAGTCAGTGGGTCAAATCTACCAGCTACTCTTTGGAAAAAAGGCCATTTCTTCCCAAGGAGATTTACAGCATTGGAAAGCCCATGGAGGGTCAACATGAGCTGGAACAAACATGACAGCACAAAGTTTGGGTTCTCTCCACCGGAATGTTTACTGAGAGAACAGCCTCTCTCTGCAAAGGACAAAGTTCAGATTTGTTGTTCAGAGGCTGGCTAGAAGTCATAGTTAACTTGACAGCACCTAACAATAACAACAACATATCCCAGCACCTGGAACAGTGCCTCACATATCAGACAAGCTCAATCTTGCTAATAAATTAAGGAAATAATATAGTCTGTCATTTCAAGGAACTTCCAATCCACATCTAAAAAAAGAAAAGACCATATACAATAACAATTAACTCTATACCATAAGGAAATAAATCAATCAGTTCCAAGAATTAAAACAGGCTTTACTACACGGTCACATGTATGTTCACATGTAATAAAAATCGATCCTTCAACTTCAATAAAACAATGTGCAATTTAATATTTGAAATATAATTCTCAAATCAACATTTTGTTTATGGCAATATGAGCTAAGCTCTTATCTATGACTTACTTACAAAACAGTAAAGAAACTTTTGTGATTCAATAACTTAAAGCAGTTAATCTTCAATTTAAAAAAGTAGCAAGAGACAATGATTTGGTATAGCACTGGTCTGTGTGTTGCTGTACAGAGGTAACTCGTGGTTGCTGTGATGCTGAAGCCCGTGACAGTGATGTGCCAATCGTGGTAATGGGCACCCATGGGGGACAGTGTTGGCTGGAGCTTCCCGACTAAATCAAGCCTGGCAGCAGGAGCGGCATCCACTTCCAAAATGGCTTGCCTCCGGAAACTCTATGTACGAACAGTGCTCAGGCTGTTCGTTCATAGGATCACTATGAGTCGTCTACGACTCGACGGCATTAAACAACAACAACAACAAAATGTCAAAATGAGTATGAATGGTTGAATGCAAAACCAATTTGCTTTGTAAACTTCTGCTCAAATTACAATAAAAAGGAAAAAATAGAGAAGTATTGGCTCTTCTGGGCAGTAGTGTGGGTTTCAGTCACTTATTCTTATCCTATTCATCTTTAAACCTAATAGAGGGTCTGCTATGAGTCAGTTCCAATTCAATGGCACTCAACAAGAACAACAAATTTACCTTTAATAACTTAAAAGACATCTTTTTTCCCTTTCTTTTCAAACAACATTTACTGTGCTTTCAATTAATGTTTTACACAGTTCAGATTTCCATTCAACAATTTCCATACAAGTCTTTCGGTAACATTAAACACATTCTTCACAATGGGTAAAATGGTTTCAGTATTCCTGTTTCAGTAGTTTTCACTAATCTAGTTTTTAGTTATTTCCACTAATCTAGTTTCCTTGCCTCTTTTTATTTTAATGAAAGTTTACAGAGACTGTGAATTTCCATTCATTCACTGCTGTACTTTTCTCCCTGCCCACCCCTCCCCCCTAGTTTGCTCTTCTCTTTAAAAATTAAAAGAATTCTTTCATTGTTATACAATCCCTCCCAAGTCCACTCACTATGCAACCTTCATTCTGGACTCCTGTCATAAAAATAATACCTAATCATATATTTTTTAAACAGTTCTCTCCCTCATATGTTTCAATGCAGTATACATAATTTATCCCCTTTCTCAGTCTCTCTTCAATCCTGATGTCAGTCCCCTATTACAATGGCACTACGCAGTATTTGTCCTTTTGTGACTGAACTATTTCTCTCACCATAATGTCCTAAACGGTCACCCATTTTATGTAATATTTCATGAGTTCTTTGTTTTTCAGTGCAGCATAGTATTACATTGTATGAAAATATCACAGCTTCTCTATCCATTCGTTTATAGGCACTTAGGTTGTTTCCAACTCTTTACTATTGTGAACAAAGCCGCAATTAACATGGGTGTGCATATATCTGCTTGGGTGGTGGTTATGGTCTCTTTGGGGTATATATTATTCACAGTAGTGGAATTGCTGGGTCAAATGGTATTTCTATTTGCAACTTTTTGAGAAAGCGCCATACTGCTTTCCATAGTGGTTACACCATTTTACACTCTCACCAACAGTGAATAAGGGTTCCAGTTTCTCCACAACCTCGCCAGCATTTGTTGTTTGCTGTTCTGTTAAAATTTGCTATTCTTAAGTTTTGTTTTTGTTTTATGTGTGTGTGTGTGTGTGTGTGTGTATACCATCAAATCAGATCTCACTGGTACAGGAGGAGATTTTCCCGCCTTCTTCAGCAGAGCATCTGGTAGATTCAAACCATTCACCTCTGAGATGGCAGTGAAGCTGCTTGCCACTTAAATTTTGCTATTCTTCCTGGGGTGAGATGATATCTCATAGTTGTTTTGATTTGCATCTCTCTTAGAGCTAGGAATTTTGAGCATTTCTTCATGTGTTTGTCTGCCACCTGAATGTCTTCTTTGGTGAAGTGTCTACTCCTATCCTGTGCCCATTTTTCAATACAGTTGTTTACCTTTACCTTGTTGTGGTGCTTGAGTATTTTCTAAATTCTAAATTTAAGTCCCTTACCTGACATGTCATTACCAAATATTTTTTTCCCAGTCTCTGGCTTCCTTTTTTTACCCTGTTGGAGGTTTTGGGTGTTTGATTCTTACAAGATCCCACTCATTTATTTTATCCTCTCCTGGTTGTAGATTTTCAGGATGCTTGGAAGACTGTTTATGTTGTGGATATAGGACTTCTAGAGTTCTTCCAAGCTTTTCTTTAATGACGTTTATAGTCCTTAGTTTTAGTCCTAGGTCTATGACCCACTTAGAGTTGGTTTTTGTGTATGGAATGAGATATGGATCTTGCTTGAGTTTTCTGCAGATAGTCTTCCAATTTTGCCAACACCATTTGTTAAAATTTGTTAACTGAGTTCATCTTCTTGTCAAAAATCAGTTGACCCTAAGTAGATGGGCTGATTTCTGGATTCTCAATTCTATTCCATTGTTCTATGTGTCTGTCATTGTACCAGTACTACACTGTCTTGCCTACCACGGCACTTTAGTAGGATTTGAAATCAGGGAGTGAAATGTCTCCTACCTAGTTTCTCTTTTTAAGGCGCGCTTTGCTTATTTGGGGCCTCTTTTCATTCCAAATGAAACTGGAGACTGCCTTTTCCATCTCGTTGAAGAATGGGATTGATATTTGTATTGTGACTGCATTGAACATGTAAATTGTCGTTGGTAGAATTGTCATTTTCACAATACTGAGTCCTCCTGTCTGTGAGCAAGGGATATTCTTCCACTTCTCAAGGTCTCTTTTTGTTTCTTGTAGTAATGTTTTGTAATTTTCTTTGAATAGATCCTTTGTGCTTCTGGTTAGGTTTACTCCCAAGTATTTAATCTTGTGATTAGCTACTGTGAAGGGTATTGTTTACTTAGCTCCAGCTCTGTATTCTCTTTGTCACTGTAGAGAAATCCAGCTGATTTTTGTATGTTGATCTGTATCCTTCCACTTTGCTGAATTGGTCAACTATGTCCAGTAGTTTCTTAAAAGACATCTTAAAGAGTTTCTAAACAATCTCTTCCATCCCCAAGACTTTCTATACATTAAGCTACATGTAAAAAGGGACACTATCTGGTTTCTGCCATGCTCATTCACTATTTCTTTCACTGCCATAGTTTTCAGTGGCTGTAAATCACATGGGAGAAGACTGCCCATCTTTCTCTCTCAAATAGTGAATCTGATCTGCCCTACTAAGATGATAAAGCTTTGTCTCACATACTTTGGCATGTTGCTAAGAGAAGTTATTCTTTGGAGAGGGACATCATGCTTAGAAAGGTGCAGGGAAGAAGACCCTCAACCAGACGGACTGACACAGGGACTGCAGAAATGGGCTCAAATGTGTCAGAGACTGTGAAGATGGCACAGGATAGGACAGGGTTCAGATCTGTTGTCCATGAGTCAGACTCAACGGCACTTAGCTTTTGGGTTGGCAATACAGCTCCTTATCCAGGAGGCTATCAGAGCTCTTTGCTCACTGTTATTGTTTTTATGTACCATCGAGCTGGATCCAACCCACAGCTGACCCTCCAAGCAGGTTTTCAGAGGCATTTAATTACACAGGTGGAGAATGCTTATCTTTCTCCCACAGAGCAGCTGGTGGATTCGAACTGCATGTCTTTGGGATTGCAACACAACTTCTTACCAGTAGGCCACCAGAGCTCCCTTCCTTGCTCACTGTGTAGTCCAAATGCTGAGCATAGTTATCACCAGCCTGAACTTTATTCAACTTCCTCCGTGTCAACTAAACCCTAAGGTCAAGAATTAATTTTCCCTCCTTCAGTTTTCCTCTATAAGTTCTAACATTAACTATCACCCCCTCTTAGTCAGGGCCCCGCACCATATGGTCCCTGAGCATCTGGCTCTTACTAGACGTTTGGCATAGTCCATAGGGAGTATACCTGTGAACCCAAAGGCTGAGTGTCTCTGGTGTTTGGAAACCCCAAAAGAAATGTAGGTAGTCTCCTCCTGCTATAATTTATAGCCTCGGAGACCCAATAGAGTGTCACAATGGGTAAAATAGACACAATGGTAGTAAGCTTGAGTTTGTATGACCTAAAGAATGGAAAATCCTGCGTGTTATTTACTTCATTACAGGCATATCAATAATAAATTTAAACTAAAAAAGAAAAAAAAATGTTGATATTTCTAGAAATGATTTCTCAATTTGACCATTTAATTCATGTAGTAAGTTTTATGAAGTATGATACCAGGACCGGGAAGTACAATAGCAGAATAATCTGCTAAACAATCTTTTTAAAAATAATTGTAAGATCTATGAGATCTTACACTTATTACCAGATTCAGACAGGTTTGGAAGTAGGAGTGGCATCTACTTCCTAAACCACATGTCTCTGGAAACTCTATGAACTTGGAGAAACAACAATAGTTATAGAAAGGCTTTAGGTCTTTTATTCATAGTGTCTCTGTAAGTCATGCTCAACTTGATGGCAATCAACAACAACAACCACCATAACATATACAGGTATACAGCAGCACAAAAGAAGAGAAACCCTGGGCAAACAGCAAAGACCATGAATCTTTACATCTTCTTACCGCGTGGGGCGTTCCCATTGTGTAGTTCTCGTTATGTGGTTTAGATACTGGATTCTCCCAGAGGCAGTTCGCCTTTCTTCCCAACTTAAGTAAAAATATTGAAAGACATTTATCAGCAATAACAGAAAGCTGGGCCAGAAAATATTTTCAATGCAATCACCAAGCTAAAAAGACATCTGCTATTACGAATCAAAAATGCCAAACTAAAAAGTCAGGGCGCAGCACAGAATAAATGGTTTTCTAAGCTCTTTCAGATCTGTACAATTTATCTCATGAAAATCTGAAACTAAAATATTTACACTAAGATATGACTAATATTTTCCATCAGCCAAACTGAAAATCGTTCATGAAATGTTCAATTAGTAAAATTTTCCCAGAATTTAGTGAAGAATGGTTATCATAAAAACAAAATTTTTAAAAAAAAATTTAACTCTAATTTTATTAGGAAAGTATACAAGAAAATTTTTAAAAGCATTTCACTTACTCCAATTAATTTTAGAAACATTTTTTAAATGTGAATTATCCCATATAAAGAAAACAACAATTAAATGGCATACAGTAATGCGGTAGTGGCCTATTTCCACCAAAAGGCAGAGGTTTGGGGCCTTAAAGGGATTCTAGAAAGACAAGTTTTCTCCCTATAATTATAATTGAAGTATAAAAAATATAATTTCAAGATAAATCTTACATTACTATAATCTCTCAGTACTGATTAGTAATTTTATCTGAAACATTTTTCTTAAAAATAATCTAACCCATATCCAAAAGAGAGTTAACAGGTATCATTAAGCTGAAGTGATCATAATCACTTTATCACTTGCAAACAGATTTAAATTAGTTGTTTTCAACAGGATAAGAAAAGGTTAAGTAAATACGGTATGTTTTGGATAAAATTGTATGTACTCTTTAAAAGGATGTAATTTATTGCATGGTAAGTTATATTTTATCAAGATTAAATTAAAATAATTTGAAAGTTAAAATAAAAAAATATCAGAACTAATGTCAAACAAAGATGAAGAATAGTGAGGTTCACGGGGACATGCTTTGGCTCAACACTGAGATTTGTGTTCTGGTTCTGCCACTTTGGTGGTTGTAGGCGAGTTATTTTATTTGTCTGAGTATCTTTTTCTTTTTTAAAAAAAAGTAATGATGGTAATAAAAGAAGTAGAAGTAGTTATAATAGTTAAGTATTAAACCTTTAGTATGTGCAAGACAATGTGCTACATTCTTTACATCAAAGGTTTCATTCACAGTTCACAGGTTTACAGGGTACTTCTTATTATCATCTCCTTTTAGAATGAATATAAACGGAAGTTTATAGAAGATATAAAGCCAGTGAGCAATAAAATAAGGACTGAAACCCAGGTTGTTGAATTTTAAGAATCACATGCTATAGCTATATACTGTTTTCCAAAATAAGAATTAAAGGATAAAATGTATAAAATATAATAGTATCTGATATATAATGCCCAATAACATCCCAGCTCTCTATTCTATCCCTCTTAACAGAGCAATGTTTCAGATCCAGCATTGTAGGAATGTCCTGCTTGAATAAATGAAGCAAAAAAGCTTTTTCTTTCACATGCACGGAATTTACAGTCAAGTTCTGTTCATCAATAAATTTTTATCTATCACCTAGTCAAAACTCCTAAAAATCAAATGTACATAAACTCACTGTCTATTAGACAAGTTTGTAATGACAAATTCCTTCACTAATTTTCCATTACAAAGAAACCTAGATACTGAAATTGCTCATAGCAAATTTCTAAAGCTCAGTATATAAGAAACACCAAGCTATTTCTCAATACTCTGAGAATATTACAAGTTATTTGTTTTTTCTAATGGTTCCAAAGATGTTAGCTTACCCGTCTGGTAAGTCATTATCAAACAAACGACTGCAGTCCACAACTTGTCCTCCTGTGCCTATACGGTCCCTGGACTGGAGACTTACTATTAAACAACAAAGAATTAGAAAAATGTAAAATTATAAAACTTTAGAAGACATCCTTTAAAAATCATTAACTCAAAGACTAGGTAAAAACACTAAAAAGTTTGTGACAAATCAGAGAAAACAAAATTTTCTATTCACTGTAATGAAAATAATTTTAAAAATATATGTGTAAAAAATAAAAAAAAATAAAAATATATGTGTAAAAAATACCAAAGAAAACTATGTTTTATAAAAAGTCTATATATTTTTTTAAGTTAGTTAGATGTTCAACAATATATTTGTAAAGATCTACTTTTGCAAGAAATGAACTTATTCTGCTTCTGGATCACAGAATTAGAGAATCAGAAAGTATGGCTCTTATTAACAACACCAAATTGTCACATGAATGTGGAGTTAAAAATAGTCATAAACTAAAATATTAGTCTTTTAAGTAGTAACCACATTTTTAACAACTGACAAAAGAACACATTCTTTTAAATGTGAATTCATAACAAGTAAAATTATTTTGTTGTTACTAGGAGAAATTAGTTGGCCAGCATTACCTAGCACACCAAATTAAACTGAGAACAATTTGTTAAACAAATAAATCCTATATACTAAGATTCATTTAAGACTTTTTTAACCAGCTTCTCAATCTAAGACTCATAGGAATCATCAGAAATATTACAAATAGTGTAAACATTTTCTGGAATAACTGTAACTTTGTGTAATAATCACATCTTTGCTGTGACACTATCCTAACTACAAACCTGATTCATTTAAAATTAAGTCTTTCAAAGTACCTTCCATAATTAAAATCTAAAAGGTTCACAGTCAAGTAGTAAAGAGGTATATTGCCAACCCAAAGGTACACGGTTCAACTCTACCTGCTGCTAATGGAAGATAGAAGGACACAAACTCCTCTCATGAGATTTACTGAAAACCTGCTGGAGGGTCAGCTATGTGTTAGTTCTGACTTGACAGCACACAACACGTGTGTGTGTGTGTGTATTCTTTGTTGTTGCTGTTTACCTAGCTTGGATCCATACTTTACAAGACTGTTTAAGACTCAACGGCACTTAATAACATAGAGACCAGTTGGCCTAGTGGACAGAAAGTGAGTCTACCAAGTCAAAAGTGGGTGACTCAAATCCAAGGCCCTCCAGCCTGTTTTTAATTGTGTTTGGACAACCATTCTTCTAGGTCGTATAGCCCTGGTGTGTCCACTTGCCATACAGAGGTAATCTGTGGTTGCTGTGAAGCTGAACACTGTGACACTGGTATGTCACATGTGATAATGGTTACCCATGGTGGACAGTGTTTGGTGGAGCTCCCCGAATAAAACAAGCTTGGAAGCAGGAGTGGCATCTACTTCCGTAAATAGCTTGCCTCCGGAAACCCTATGAACTTGGAGAAAGGATGAAAGTCACACAAATGTAGAGGACTTTTGTTCACAGGGTCACTATGAGCCATCTATGACTCAACAGCACTTAACAACACCACCACAATTTAATACACACTAATATGATGAAGACAATGTACTTTGTAGTGTACTCTGGTTTTTAACCCAATATTATTTAGCATTAAAGTTCATATAATTTTAAATTCCACACTTACCTACTATCTGCCCTCTAACTGTGTCATTGTCATTCGGCCCAAGTTTGCATAGATCCAACCTCTGATCTATTACAAATCAACAAAAAAAGTCACTGAAAAAAAGAGTCAGTGTCAAAGAATTTAACATCTATAGAGTAGTAGTCAATTCCCACGATACATGGAAATCAAACCTATCATTTTATCATAGAATAAATGTTAAAGATTCTCTAACTACATAGGTAGTAGATAGAATGGATGTCTTAACACTACATTTTTACTCATTCAGCTTTCAGAACCATAAAACACTGACGCATGACACTGCCATCAGGAGGCTACCTTCTTGGTAAAACTTTCAGAACATTTCAGTCTAAGTTGTCTTGTCACTTGGTTGCTGATCTTAAGAAAATTAGTCTTGAGCTTTGATTTGCTTAAGTCTAATGGTAACATCTACCTCATGCACTTGCTTACAAGAATTAAATGAGCTAATTACATAAAACTATTAGCACAGGGGTCAGCACACAGGCATTCAAGAAATGTTTGGGAAAAAAAGTAAAGAAAAAAAAGATATGTTTGTCATTTTTTAAATAAAATCATTTCAAAAGACACAAATGCAAAGTAAGTACTAATACAAAGCCAAATATAAACTGTAAGGTGTAAATTTGAGCTAGTTCTACTACTAACTCATTTATGGGCATTTGCAAAGATTATATAGCATTCTTACCAACCAGTCATTTCCTTCTGTCATTTTAAATTTTTAATACCTTAATAAATTTCATTTTATCTCCTAAAACCATTAACGCCAGAGATGGGTGTCAAGATTTTGTTTGTTGTTGAAAGGGCATATAAAGGTAAAACTTTACTTTCACACTTTTGGATAAAAATCATTTAATACTTACACATTTCACAAAAAACCCTAAGCATTAGACCTGATTTAGCTCCAGATCAAAGATGTATGGTATTTTTGTTAAGTCCACAAAATAAATTTGAAACAACGCTATTTCTCACCCAAAAAAGTATAACCAATGATTAAAATTAAATCGTAAGGTTTTTTACTCCTCCCCTAACCTCTCAAAGGCAAAAAAAAAATAGTTGTCTACTCACAACCAGTGTCTTTAAGACGGTTGATGGCATTGGAAAGCAGGCGGACACAACCAAGAAAGCCAGCACCTTGCTTTTTATGGATCTTCTTGTGATTCCACACACTGATTGTAACTGAATCAGACTTTCCAATATACCTAGAAAACAAAAGGACTAATTGAGAAACTTGGCAATTACAAGTATTTAAGATTTTTATTTTGCTCCTTTGATATTTTAAAGTCACAGATATGTTTCAGAGTATGGCAAGGTTGGGCAAAAAATAGATCTGTGGTTTGTAGTTTGTTCTTCGCTTGCATCCAACTTACCTATAGGATTAGAATTTTTTTTAAATCTTTAAAAGTAAAATATAAAAATCATTTTCAACACAGCCTTTACCACATCTGGTGAAAAACGGTTTCAGTAGCCAGTGTCTAACAGCACTACAGTAATATATAAAGACATTTGTCCAGGAACAAATATTCTAAAATGACAAATTCTTAGTATCTTAAATGCATTTAAAAATCATTACCCCCTATCTCAGAAAGATGGCTCTGTTCCGTTTTAAGGGCATTGTCAAGGCTGATAGACCAAAAATCTGACCTACCTGTTATGTTTTAAAATGCTGTAGAACAAAAGCTGTTTGTAACGCTTTTCCCCTGCTTCTCTCCTGTATGCAGGCCTTGAGCGAGCAGGATTCTTGCAGATTTCCCTTCACTGCCTGCAGACAAGCAGAGCAGGGAAAAGCGTTACTGTGTTTTTCTGTGCATACACCTGCGAGTATGTAGCTCTACCACAGCCAATTGTGAACATGGCATCAACCCATGTAAAAAGTAGTGAAATCACAAAATTATATCAATAGAACCTTTACTCTAGTTCAGTGACTCTGAGGTCAAATTTTTGGTCCAACAACCTTGACCTTAAAGTGTCATTCACAGTGAAGCAGTAATATCAGAAAAAGTCACCTAGTAAATTTAAAAAGCCTAAAATCGCCTACATGTGAGGCCCATAGAAGTCACAAGAGCCCCTGGATATAGCTGTGCATGAAGAAAATGGAAATATTTTGACTAATTTTCAAGCAGACAATAGCAGATCTTATCTGGCATCTATCAACTGCATATTAAGATGTCAAATTGTAGCACCAGAATAAAATATTAAAGTTTTAAAATCCTAAATCATTTCAAGCCAAGTTTCCCAACTAGTAAGCCTAGTTTACAGTCATGCTGAAAATACTGCTTCCCTCAATCATCAAGGCAGCTGGTTTAAGCAAATCCATTTGTTTAGCATGTTGTGCTGTAATATAATTTCTTATATGAACCATGAAGTGGAAAACGTTGAAAAATTCTACACGAAGCCAAACAGTTGATAATTGTAGACATTCTAAAAGATACACTAACACTCAAAATTTACTGTCTTCAAGTCAATTCCAACTCACAGTAATCCTCCATTGGGTTCCCAAGGCTGTATATAAAAAAATATTTTTTGGTTTTTTAAACTGTACTTATTTATCCTTTATTTAAGTCAAAGTTTAGAAATTGGATTTTCATTCAATCATTCAGACATTTGTTTCTATAACACTGTTGTTGTTAAGTGTCATCAAGTTGTTGGCGACTCATAGCGACCCTATGAATGAAAGTCCTCAACACCTGTGTGACTTTCATCCTTTCTCCAGGTTCATAGGGTTTCCAGAGGCAAGCTATTACTCAAGCGGATGCCACTCCTGCTTCCAAGCTTGTTTCAACCGGGGAGTGCCACCAAACACTGTCCACCATGGACAAATTAACGCATTTGACACATTGGTGTCACAGTGTTCAGCTTCACAGCAACCACAAGTTACCTCTGTACAGCATTGATTACAGTTGATTCATGTCATTCATTATGTCTGATCAACCTCTTACTGGATATTGCCATTTCCTTCACCCAGTTCATCTATTCATTCATCTTCCTCCTCTTTTTCCATCCCTGGTAACCTTCAAAGAATGGTTTTATCTGTGTGTAAACTTTTCCTTAGCTTTTACTAAGAGTGGTATTACACTTGTGACTGCCATTCAAAATCATTTCCTCTAGATTTATTCACATCATGCAGTGTTTAAAAAAGATTTTTTTACATTCCTTATTGTTGCTTAATAGGAATGTACAATCATTTCTTTATCCATTTGTCTCTTGATGGACACATGGGGTTGTTTCCATCTCTGTGTTACCGTAAATAATGTTGCAGTGAACAAGGGTGTGCTTATGTCAGTTCTTGTCATAGCACTTAGTTCTTTAAGATATATACTTAGTGTTAAGTGCCTTTCCAAAGTGCTAAAGAGCAATGTCAGTTTAAAGACTAAGCTGGACCTGATGCTCGTGATGATATTTTCAATTGCTTTTTTAAAAAAAAGGTATGTATTTAGTAGTGAGATTTCAGCCTCTGAAAACTGCTAGAGGGCAGCTGTGAGTTGGTTTCACCTGAACAACACATGAAAACAACAGGTGGGATTGCTGGGTCAAATAATATTTCTATTTCCAACTTTTAGGAAGCACATAATTGCTTTCGACAATGGTTATATTATTTGACATTCACACAAGCCATGTATGAGAGTTCCAATTGCTCCTTAGCCTTGTCTGCATTTGTTGTTCGTGGTCTTATTGATCCTTACTATTTTTGGAGGTGCAAGACAATACCTCACTGTTTTTATTTGCATCTCTCTAATAGTTACAGACTTCAATATGGTTTACATCTTCAACATCAAGAACACAAAAATCCTCACCACTGGGCTGGAGAGTCAACAAAGTAATAGGTGGAGAAAACATTGGAATTGTTAACAATTTCATCTTACGTGGATCCACAATCAATATCCTTGTGACCAATGGACAAATTATAAAGCGTATTGCATTTAAAAAGTTTGCTGTCAGGGACCTCTCCAAAGTAATGAGGAGCACATAAGTCACTTTAAAGACTAAGGTGCACCTGACTCTGGTCATGCCTTGCTATATGTCTGAGAGCAGGACAATGAATAAGGATGACAGAAAAAGGACTGATGCTTTTGAGCTGTGGTGCTGGAATACTGAATATCTCAAGGACTGCCAAAAGAACAGATGGTCTTAGAGAAAGTTCAGCCAGAGTGCTCTTTGGAGGAAAGGATGACAAAGCTTTGTTTCACATACTATGGGCATGTTGTTAGGAGAAGTTATTCCATGGAAAGGGACATCAGATTGGAAATGTGGAGGGTTAGCAAAAGAGAGAAGACATTCAATGAGATGGACTGACACCGTGGCTGCAGCAATGTGCTCAAGTATGTCAGAAATTATGGGGATCGTACAGAACTCTTCACAGGATCGCTGCAAGTTGTATTCAACGGCATCTAACCATAATCCTTAGCATTTCTTGAATGTGTTTATCAGCCAACTGAATGTCTTTAATAAAGTGCCTTTTTATGTCCTCTACTCATTTTAGAATTGGGTTGTCTATTTCTTGCTGAAGTGTTAAAAGTTTTCTATACATTTTAGAAATTGGTTCCTTCTGCCAAATATTTTTTCCCCAGTCTACAGTATCTCTTTTTACTCTTACAGAAAAATCTTTTGACACACATAAGGATTTCATTTTCAAAAGGTTCCAATAATCTACTTTATCCTCTGTTGATTGTATATATTCAGTTACATTTAATAGTTTATTTATGCAACTGATTAGGGCTCCAAAGTTTGCCCCTATGTTTTCCTTGATGAACTTTATAGTTTTACGTTTTATGCCTAGGTCCTTGATCTTGATACTTTTTGTGTATGGTGTGAATATGGATCTTGTTTCAATTTTCTGTAAAAAGATATCAAGTTTTGTCAGAATCATTTGTTAAAAAGGATAGCTTTCCCCACTTAATGGATTCCAGCTCTTTGTCCTGATGGTTAGTCTTTTCTCCTGTAAATCTTAACAGAAAAAAACTGCCCATGAGGAGTGGCTAGTGGATTCAAAGCTACAGACTGAAAGCGATCTGTAATACAACATGCTATAGACTGTGTCACCAAAGTTCCAATCTTTAAATTACAAACCATTACTGTGTTACCTTAATGTACATGTCAAAAATTTCATTATCTTGCCATCAAGTCAGAACTGATTCATAGCTGGCTCTCCCCTGAGCGTTCCAAGGTTGTCAATTACATGGGAGAGAGGGCATATTCTTCTCAGAGTTTCTGGGGGATTCAAACCACAGCCTTTGGGATGAGAAGTACAATTATCTAGGGGCTGTGCTATTAGGGTTCCTCTATGCCAGAAATATTTTGTCAAATACTCTTGGGTTAGAAATTAATTGGAAATATTACAATTTCTTATATCTACAGATACACTTGCAGACATTAAAGAAACTTCATGTATTATATTACTGTTATGTTTCTTTGAGATGGAACCAACTATTCTGGACCTTCAGCAGGTTTACCAGATTTTTTTTTATTAATTTTAATGAACATTTACAGAGACTTTGGATTTTCCTTCATTCATTGTTGCATTTTTCTCCCTGCCCTCCCCACCCCCTCCTTTTTTTTTTTTTTTTTTTAGATTTAACATGTGAGCCTATTTATTTGCCACACATAGAAAATTCTATTTCTGACTGGATTCTGATTTGGAGGTAGAAGCTCTCAGAGAGGACAGCCAGATTTTCAGAGGCAATAATTACCCAGCGAGCGGAGACTTTCTACTGCTTATGGAGTAGGAGCTGGATTCAAACTACGTGTCTTTGTGGTGGTAGCGCAGCTTCTGAGCATCAGGCCACCAGAATTCCTACCATATACTGTGAAACACATTATTTCTTGCTTAAACGACAAAGTCAATTGTTTCATAATTGAAAGTTACCATGATTTAATTAATATCAACTTGAATTAGACTTATGTTTGTCAGTTCAGTCAATTAAATGCAAGGCTTTTGAGGGGTGGGCAAGGAGAAAAATGCAACAATAAATGAATGGAAATCCAGAGTCTCTGTAAACTTTCATTAAAAAGAATTTAAAAATATAATAATAATAAAAAAAGACAAGGCTTTTGCAAATGATCCCAGTGTCTCCTCATCACTGACCCGCTGATGCAGCACTCTGGCAATAAGCAAGGGAAAAGTCTTGGGGAGTCCATTAACATGCATTTTTAAAAAAGGTTCCATATGCACATAAAAAGATGCAGCAGTCATTAGTCATCAGGA